AAATTAGATCTCTGTAAACTGGGAGGAAGTAAATGAGGTAACGCTCTTCTTCAAATAAGCCGGCATCTGCAGTTGTTATTGCTGTGTTTTGAGTTCTCTTTCTACATGTTAACCGTGTTTATTTTCTATATTTCAATGGTATCCTCCATGTGATCTCATCATCTAGTAAAAGCTATTTATGCAAGGGTAAACATGAGCCTCTTTTCCCATAGAGAGTTCCGCTCGGGAGCCCAATTTATGAGATTGGGACATTGCTGCAGCCAAGGTGGGTCTTCCCAGTCTGTATTTTAGCTTGTTGCTTTTTTAAATTTTGTTCTGGGGTGTTTTTTTTTTTCACCCGCACAATTAACAACAGAAGAGCAGGGGGGTAAATTTTTTTTTGGGGGGGGAAGCCATTCATTTCTGGAACTCACGGGTCACTTTTTGGAAGTTTGACCTGCTGTCAGTGTCATTTGGTAACGCAGACCAACACAGACCCAGGAGTTCAGTTCTTACCAAACGAAGATCAGATCTATAACGTTAGTTTGTCTGGTGTGATCTTTAAGTGATTCTTCTCATAGTAGTCGGGAAGGTCTTTTTCTCTTTGAATACCCCATTTCCATCTCTAATCTAATGCACAGAAGTGCCCTAGAACATACACAAACAGAAGAGAACCATCTTACACGTCAATTTAAGACCCACTTTTATAATACAGTCCACAGTTTGGGACAAATCCTGTTCTCTCGAGCAGGAATTAGACCCCTGGCTGTAAGCATGACTACTTGCATAAGTAAGGTCAGACTACTTGTCCCCTTGTCTGCTTAGTGTTTGTCCAGCACAGACGTTGTTGTCCTTTACAGTCACCAGCAGTTGTTTTCCGCAGTTGGAGACTGTGAGAGAGAGAGAGAGAGAGAGACTTATGGACAGGTACACGCTGCCTGTTCTTTTCCGTAGTGGAGAGACAATGTAAACAATAAGAATCATGTTTGAAAAACTTCAAAAACATATTTTTTAATATTTATGAACAGGCTGGTACTCTGATAATGAAGCATTCCATCTCCACAGAAACGCGCTGTTTTATATGCTCTCTAGTATACTGTGTCCTTAAGAATTATTATTGTAAGGAGATGCAGGAATGTGGCTGTAATATTTTACAGTATAAATATTTGTTGTAGAGGAGTTTGGATCTTGTTAATTTAATATATGTAAATTCTTTGGTCCTAGGCCTGGATTCCAGCAAAAGAATGCATTTCTCTGTTGACTTTTGTTTTTACAACAGAAAAGATGGATTTTTATCATTTTCATTCATGCTTAAAAAGATTTTTTTCTTGTTTTCGCACCAAAATCAGGTTTTAATTGAAATCAGCCCTCTGCAAGCATCTTTAGTTGTTTTTTTTTCTTTCTTATTGAATTTCTTTTATTCTTTTCCATTCTGTGCTACTTTGGTGTCTCATGTGTTAGTTTGTGGGTCGGGCCAATTAAGAGATCGAATCTTTAAAAAGCTGTGATTTACGCTCTGTGTACATTCACCATTATTCTAATTGTGAATATAAAAAAGAGAAAAATTTCTTTATCCTTTTCTGTTCTGTGCTACTTTGGTGTCTCATGTGTTAGTTTGTGGGTCGGGCCAATTAAGAGGTCGAATCTTTAAAAAGCTGTGATTTACGCTCTGTGTACATTCACCATTATTCTAATTGTGAATATAAAAAAGAGAAAAATAAAGTATGTCAGATGACCTTTAAATTGCTGGGCAAGTGACACTCGTCCGGTGATGTAGATGTTTATCTTTTGGCAATGCATTTACATTCAGGTACCTCTGCTGTGTTTCCTAGATTCCAGACTGATAAACTAAATACCAATGCGGGACACTTTTGTATGTACAGTACATAGGAGTGACTCTGCTGAGCCTCTTATCTTACACTGACCTGTAGCTGGAACAAGACTTTTATTTAATTCTTCTCTGATCTGAACTGCAACTCAAATGGATGAAAATAAAAGGACAGTCCAAGACAAATTGTATAGAGCATTTTCAGCATTGG